CAACTGTCAAGGGAAATTTCTTTAGACTCCGTGCCAGAATATGTTGAAGACTGGCCGGAGAGATTCAGGCTAAGAGATACCCCTCCACCATCACCCACTGCCCAAGCACCAGAGCATGTTCCCACTGAGTCGTCTGAGGGCTCAGCAGCCGGCAGTGGTGAATACTCCACCTCCCCCACAGCTTCATTATCCCGGGAGGGTGCAGAAGAAGGCGAGGAGGAGGTACAGGGAGATGAGGAGGTAGTTGAAGGTGGTGAGCCTCAGGTGGGAGGCATTGCCCGAACTAGAAAGCTCGATGCTTGGGAGGATAGGTTTGTGAGCCAGGTGGCGTACAACAAGTTTAGGGAGTGGTGGCCAGTGAGAAAGTTGATACCGGAGCGGAGTTTCATTGACAGAGATCTATTACCCCACAACCCTAACGTGCAGAGACAGTTCAGAACTAGAGTGGGTTGGGAGTACTTTTTAGATAACTATGTGGACACCAACGAACACATGGTCAAAGAGTTCTATTGCAATGTAGCCCACATCAAAAAGGGCTCCAAAGTGACCAAGGTTCGCAATAAGACAGTGTTGTTTGATGGGAAATACCTCAAGGAATACTTGGGCTTCAATGAGGAGGATGAAACTTTGTACATGGTGAAGTTGGAGATGGGCGAGGAGGTCCGTCCATGGTTATCTCGGTACCTGGCAATCCCAGGTACCGTTCCGGATTGGTTGACTACTGGATCAAAATATTGCGGAGGACCTTGAACTTTGAGGCGAGGGGTTGGGAGACATTTGTTTGCAGCCGGTTGGATCCTACTACACATGACCAGACCCTTCCTCTCCACCGGGCTATTTTGGTTGCTTCGATTATGGCGGGAATACCCCATAAATGTGGGGAATGTGATGTCCCGCATTATCTCGTTAGTGGGAGCAGAGCATGACCGGAACTACCCTTTCCCTAGCACCCTCACCATGTACTTTCGGGACTTGGAGGTGGACAAGAAGCCCTACGACGTCAAGGTCAAGGTGACAGCCCCGTTCTCCTGGTATAGCTTGAAGGGGAATGACAACCCCAAGGACAAGAACTACAAAGCCCCTACTTCTTCCCCAACTGGCCAGTCTGAAGAGCCAGTTGTTGTAGAGGTCCCTGCTGAGCCTACCTCCATTTCTGCTGATATGCCTCCCAGACCTTCCACATTTTTAGCCATTCCTCCGGGCCCTTCCACACCAGCAGGCCCGGAGATCCCATCTAGCCAGGCCCATCCCATCACTACTCATCGACTGAGCCAGGCCCTGCTATGTATAAACAACTAGATACAGACTGCCTCGTCCAAGCTATCCACATTGACTACTACTGTAGCAGCTCAGTCATCTCCCCCAGCCCCACAGGTACCCCAGTCGATCGAGGATGCGCTCAAAGAGATACTTGAGAACTAGAAGAAGATCCTCGACACTCAGGTTGCGCACACAAAGGCAGTGGATTTACATAGCAAGGCTCTCAAGGAGCTTGCTAAGGAGCACAGGAAGTTGCGGAAGACATGGGCCTCCAAGGAGTCCGTGAAGGAGCTGCAGGCAGATGTTGATAGATTGAAGGCAGACCAGCTGCCTTTGGACTTGTTGCTTGATGATCCAGTCCTAGCAGGTCATCCACAGCTGGAGCAGACCCAGAGGCCTCCGAAGAGGAGGAGGACGATCCCTAGAGCAGATGGTGCCATCATCCAGTTGGCGGACCCATCGGAGGCCTCCACAGAGCCTGTCCAGGTCCTGGCCCAGGTCCTAGTAGCAGCAGAGCAGACCACCGGGAACCAGTCTGAGGTTCCCGAGCACACACAGGACCCAAGGACCACCCATTATCCTATGCAGACAGACACGGCTTAGGGAGTCCTCTATATCCCTTTTTCTATATTTGGTGCTTATTTAGACTAGTTGGCATTGGGGACAATGCCAGCTTTCATTTGAGGGGGTGAGCCCTACATTTTGGATGACTGTATATATTGATATTTTTATGCTTTCTTGACTTTTCACATTTGTTCTGTATATAATTTGATATTATCGCACTTTTAGTTCACTTTTGGTCTGTATATAAAGTTACATCATATTGTATATATTCATCCCCGTTGTATATTCAAATCCCCTCTTGTATATATTTATTCTGTTTTCCACAACATTTTTCGTTTTAACCTTCTTATTTGTGATTCGTAGCTTCTTATTTTCGGAGTTTTCAATAAACCTTTGGTTTTCTTAATGCCACGATTCTTTCCAAAGGTGGAATGTTGTGTGAACCGGGTGGCTCTTCCCAATGATGGGTGGCGTGACAACCTTCTTAAGGGTTTGAGTCCGTTTTTCTTTTTCTTTTTGTTTTTAGTAGTTTGTAGTTAAGGGTACCTCAAGCAAAGCTTCACTTGGGACTAGCACATTTGCCTTTGCTCTTATGGTCAAAAACAAATTGTTGTGTTTAGGATGGTGAAAGTTGTGACCTTGAGACTCTTGCGTTGGCCGATAATCATCAAGTGGTTTTTCGGGACCATTGTGTGCTCAAATCGTATCTAAGGTCGTTGTGGGCCCCCGACTCTATGTCTTTAGCAATCCATTAGCTTGTGTGGTGAGGAATTGTATTGCAAGTCCAAGTCCCGAGCCATTGGTCTAAAACTTGCCCTGAAAGTTTGTTGTGGCGAAATCCTAGGGCAATTTTGACTTAAGACATGATTATAGGCTCTCCTTGATCCAAATGATAGTTCGAACAATTCCATAGCCTACCAGTGATATGATCCCTAATTTACCCTTTTGAGCCTTAGACCTTTTTCTTTTAAGAACCATGATACAAGCCTATACCCGTTCTAAAAGATACCCTCTCTTGGCACCCGATCTTTCGTTTAGCACATGGCAAAAGTATAAGTTTGGGGGGAGAGACGAGGATTGCAACAAAGTAGCGAAAAGGCACAAAAATGAAGAAAAGGAAAGGCAATGAAGAAGAAATAAAAGCACAAAGTCAAAAAGAATGTTCAATGTGAAAAAGAATAAAAAGGGATTCAAGAAAAGCAAAGAATGAAAGGTGTGGAAACTTGAAAAAGGAGAAAAGGTTTGAAATGCATAAGAAAGAGTGACAATGTGTCTCTCTACCCCCTTAGAAAGAAGAGAAATGACTCAAAGAGTCAAGTGAAATTAACGAATCAAAAGAAGTGCTTAAGGGAAGATGGAACCCACTTGAACAGAAACTTGTCCTACCCTAAACCAAAAGCCTTCACAGTGACTCCACACAAGCCCTATATGATCTTGAGTCGAATGAAGCTTACATTAGTGGATACTTACATAAGGGGCAAGCATATGGTACTTAGCGCCGGACTTGTNGATAGGATTCCAATCCTTCCGGAATAAGGTCACTAACCAAGTAGTTAGCAATATCGGCATACCAAGGAGCAAAGTGCTAGATGATGCCAATATTTGTTCATCTGGGAAGGCATCATTGATTTCAAGCTCTCCCTTTGGCCTTCCTGCCTCTTCAAACCTTGATAAATGATCAGCTACTTGATTTTGAGTTCCCTTGCGATCCTTGACCTCGAAGTCAAATTCTTGCAACAACAAGACCCATCGAGGCTTTGCATCCTTCTATGCCATGAGATATCAAAGAGCAGCATGATCTATGTACACTATCACCTTAGATCCCAACAAATAAGCCCGGAACTTCTCGAAGGCATAAACAATGGCAAGAAGTTCTTGCTCAGTCACTATGTAATTTATTTGCGCTCCGTTGAGTGTCTTGCTTGCATAATAGACCGGGTGGAGAACCTTGTTGTGATGTTGGCCAAGCATTGCTCCAATGGCTACACCACTGGCATCACACATGAGCTCGAAAGGAAGAGACCAATTAGGTGTGACAATAATAGGTGCCGTGGTGAGCCTTTGTTTCAATTCCTCAAAGGCTTTGAGGCATTTTTCGTCAAACACAAATTTGGCATCTTTCTCAAGGAGTTTGCACAATGGATTTGCAATCTTGGAAAAATCCTTGATGAAACGCCTATAGAATCCGGCATGCCCTAAGAAACTTCGAACACCTTTAACGGAAGTAGGTGGAGGAAGCTTGAAAATAATCTCGATCTTAGCCCGGTCAACCTCTATGCCATGTTTTGAAATTTTATGCCCAAATACAATGCCTTCATCCACCATGAAATGGCATTTCTCCCAATTGAGCACAAGGTTTGTTTCCTCACATCTCTTAAGCACTTGTCTAAGATTGTTAAGACAATGCTCAAAAGAGTCACCTACCACCGAGAAGTCGTCCATGAAAACCTCTAGAAAATCCTCCACCATGTCGGAGAAAATAGACATCATGCATCTTTGAAAAGTAGCCGGAGCGTTGCACAAACCAAATGGCATCCGGCTAAAGGCAAAAGTTCCATAGGGGCAAGTGAATGTTGTCTTCTCTTGATCCTCCAATGCGATGTTGATTTGGTTGTAGCCGGAATATCCATCAAGGAAACAATAGAATGACCTTCCCGCTAGCCGATCAAGCATTTGATCAATAAAAGGCATAGGGAAATGGTCTTTGCATGTGGCACTGTTGAGTTTCCGATAATCCATGCACACCCTCCAACCGGTCACCGTTCTTGTTGGGATGAGCTCATTTTTATCATTTTCAATTATGGTCATGCCTCCCTTTTTCGACACACATTGCACCGTGCTCACCCAAGAACTATCGGCAATAGGGTAGACTACCCCGGCATCCAACCACTTGATGATTTCTTTCTTTACCACCTCTTGCATTGACGGGTTCAACCGTCGTTGATGTTCCACACTTGGTTTCGTCTCACTCTCCAATTGGATCTTGTGTTCGGAAATTCCCGTAGGAATCCCTCGGATGTCCTCAATTGTCCATCCAATGGCTTGCCTATGCTCCTTCAAGACTTCCAACAATTGTTCGCCCTGCACATCATTCAACAAAGAAGAAACGATTACGGTTAAAGTATCATTGGAGCCAAGAAATTTATACCTCAAGTGTGGTGGAAGTGGTTTGAGCTCTAGTTGCGGTGGCTCGATAATAGAAGGCTTTGCGGGCGGAGTGGCTCTATTCTCCAAATGGAGAGAGAGCTTTGCCGGAGCATAAGTGAAGATCCAAGCCCCTCCAATGCATTTACCGATTCCAGATACCCTTCCATGTCTTCACTATCAAAGTTCACCAAAATAGCCGCCAATGCCTCGCTGAGGCACTGTTCTTCCATTTTCATTTCAACCGCATCCTCTACTTCATCAACAACATCGATCACCGAGATGCTTTCATACTCATGTGGTAGTTTCATACCCTTGCTTGCTTGGAATGTAACCTCTTCATCATTCAAACGAAATTTGATCTCATTCCGTTCCGAATCCATTAGTGCTCTTCCCATGGCAAGGAATGGTCTCCCCAAAATGACAGGGATCTCTTTGTCAACCGCACAATCAAGGATTACAAAATCGGCGGGTAAATGAAACTTTCCCACTTTAACAAGCACATCATCAATAATTCCCACCGGTCTTTTTATGGAATGATCGGCCATTTGCAACCTCATACTTGGGGGCTTTGGCATACCTAACCCCGCTTGCTTATAGATGGCAAGAGTGATTAAGTTGATGCTAGCCCCATTATCACAAAGGGCTCTTGCAAAATCACGTGCCCCAATAGTACATGGAATGGTGAAGGCTCCCGAATCTTCTTTCTTTTGGACGGTGGATGTTGCAATGATGGAACTAACCCGGTGAGTCATGTTTACCACTTCATTATTGGAGGTTCTCTTCTTTGTGATCAAATCTTTCAAATATTTAGCAAACCCCAGCATCTCTTGAAATGCTTCCACAAATGGAATATTCATTGATAATTGCTTGAGAATGTTGTAGAACTTTTCGAGTTTACTATCATCAACCTTCCTCACAAGTCTTTGAGGGAATGGAGGAGGAGGTCTAGGAATAGGTGGAAGAATTTTTTGGTATCTCTTTCACCTTTTCCTTTAGCTCTTCCCGATTCTCTTTTTGCACTTGCAAATCTTCCGAAATCTTTTCAACTTCGACAACACTTGGCTCTTCAACCTCAACCCCTTGTTCGGACTCTTCTACTTCAATCACTTGTTCACCCTTTCCTTGTAGTACCTTCCCACTCTGAGTAGTAATTTCCATGATGTGAGAAGTTGGACCACTCCCACTACCCTTTGGGTTCGCAATTGTGTCACTTGGAAGTGTCCCTTTTTGCTTCTGATTTTGTTCCCTTGAGAGGTCTCTCATTTGCATTTCCAATTTTTGAATGGATGCGGTATGAGAGCCAAAAAGCTCGGTCATATTCCTCATAGAAGTGTCGGACTTGTCTTGATTTTGTAATACCCGTTCAAGCATGCTTTCCAACTTGGAATCACTTGATGAACCTTGATTTGAATATTGACCCTTTGAGGGAACATAAGGATTTGAACTCCGTTTTGCGAAGTTGTTGTTGTTATTCCAATTTCCTTGATTTGAGCCACCTAGGTCATTTTGCCATTGTTGGTTGCCTTGCCCTTACGGGTTAGGCCTCCATTGATTTTGTTGTCCTTGACCTTGGTATTGTTGCCTTTGATACCCTCCTTGAGAGTTTTTGATGTAGTTTGCTTCCTCAAAATCTTCATTTGATATGGGTTGCACATCCTCCACCACATTCACCTTCTTTGTTTGGCTTTCTGTGAACATTTTTGTCAACACATTGACATTTGTGGCAAGCCCTGCGATTACTTGATCTCTCTCTTGATTCTCCTTAATCAGGTTGGTCAAGGAAGGCGAACCATATGCAATTCCACCGGTGGTATCCTTAGAGTGCCAAGCTTGATTATGTTTTGCCATTTTGTCAAGTATCTGTGTGACCCTTGCAAATGATTTGTCCATAAAAGATCCGTCAGCTGCATTCTTCGCTATATATTGGTTCATTGGGTCCAAACCCATGTAGAATTTCTCCAACAAGATAGAGTCCGGAAAATCATGATTGGGAGACCTCACCAGATATAATTTGAATCGATCCCATGCCTCATGTAGATGTTCCCCCGGCTGTTGCTTGAAGAAGAAAATTTTATCCCGAAGTTCAGATTTCTTGCTTTGTGGGAACCATTTAGCTAGAAATGCTCGGACAAGTTCAGGCCAAGAACGGATGGAATTTGGTGGCAAGTTTTGGAGCCACCTCCTTGCGTCTCCAGCTAGTGAGTACTTGAACACCCTAAACCTTAGGGCATCATCTGAGACATTGTTCTGCTTATGCATAGCACATACTCCCAAGAAGTTTCTAAGGTGTTGTGTTGGATCATCATCAGTGGAATTCCTGAAAAACCCCTCCGCTTTGAGCATTAGGATTAGACCATGTTCCACTTTGAAAGTTGAAGCACCAACCATCGGAGATACAATAGCATTTGTGTCCTCTATGTACTAATCTATGTCCGCAAAAGGATTTTCATCCACTTCTTCCTCGTAGTATGACATGTCTTCCTATCAACACCAAGCAAAACAAGCAAAGTGTGATGGAATAGAATAAGACGTAAAGTAAAGCACACACTAATTAGTAATTTCAAAATCGTATTCCCTGGCAACAGCGCCAAAATTTGATACGCTCAAATTATACTTTAATAAATAGTGTAAGGCGGTCGGTGTCAAATATAATAACCCAACAAGGTTGGGATCTAATCCCACAGGGAATAGGTGTGAAAAGCTACTCGATTAGTGTGTCACTCGACTTAAGTCGTAATTCTATCCGGTTAATTGTAACAAGAGTATGGTGTAATTGTAATTTGAAGAAATAACTAATGTTGAGATTTATAATATAATTAATTGGATTAAAGTAACCAAGGTTGTGTCCCCTTCAATGAAATATAATGCTACCGGTGTTAATATGATATATTTCTAATGGAAGGTCCTTTAGATATGCAACTGATTTCTAAATGATTACCCAATATTTTCCAATAGTTGGGTAGTATTTCCTCTTTATGATTATTCCAAATATAAAAGAGTTTCAATTAAGAGTAATCAATTTATGCCAAATAAAATCCACTTATTCCTAGGCGATTCTATTAAACAAGGTTTAAAGCCTTGAGTCTTTGATATTTACTTCTACCATATTCTAACCCACTTTTCCAAGTAAAGAAAGAGTTTAATGGCACTTGTCAGTGTTTGCAACCACCAACAATAAATGAAGAATGAGAAGTAAATATATATCAACCAACCATTATATATATATTCAATGTTAAACACCCATTAACATAACAACCATTTAGGGTCCACAACCTTAGTATTTAAGGCTAGCTACTCATACTAAAATACAAAAAGATGGCAATATTAAATGCCATAAAGCTTACAAAGTGCAAGATTCTTCACTCCTAAAGCTTCCAAAAGAGAGGAATATTAAAGGGTTGGAATGTAGCTCAAAAAACAGACAAGATGCCCCCACAAAACTCCAATAAATCTATTTATAGTGGGCAAAAACTCGGGACCAAATTCGGACAAAAATACCCTTCCAGGTCAATTCTGCGACCGCATATCTTTCGCATAACAAAAATGCGGTCCGCATTTTCTTCAGAGCTATCGCATATTTGAACCCTAGTTTTCTGGTAGTCATTGCATCTTGATTATGCAGTCCACATTGTTGATTTGCGATCGCATAGTATCACCGCATTTCCAGCTTCAGCAACTTCCACAGGGAGTTTGCGGCCCATTATGCGGCCTGCAAACATGTTATGCCGTCGCATAATGGACCGCATTTCTTGCGCCTGAATTTAGCCAACAGGCTGTTGGACTATGCGGTTCCTCTGGGCAATATGCGGCCCGCATGTGGGATTTGGGTCCTCATTGTTGCATCTGCGATCGCATTTTGCAATTTTCTTGTCCTTTTTGCGACTTTTTGAATTAATTTCCATGTTCTGGGGTCCTTAATCCTCATACACTACAAAACATCAAAATTACATAAGTATAAGCGATAATTGCATTTAAAACAAGCTAAAAGCAATTGGTATTAAATGTGCCGAAATTCTCCGGCACATCAATAATTGATAAGGAGAAGGACTCCTTACTCAAAGAGAACATTATCCAAGATAGTGAAGGAGTTAGAAGTTGAGATCAACTAGAACTCTTCTACCAAGGAAGAGTTGCATCAGAACTCTAATTATTTCTTCATCTACTAACTCTATAAATTGCAGGATGTTCTCCCACTACATGGGTTGCACAAAAATGCAGAAGTTAAACGTGAATTGAGAGCAAAATAGCAAGGCTTTTTGCAATCAGTTTGTGTGTGATTCAAGTGTGCAGACCTGAAGCGACATGAACTAGATTGAAAAACCAGGTCCATAAAGAGTTTTATGTGACTTTCTTTATTTCTAGTTCAATTGTAGTAGGTGTTTTACATTGTACCTTTCAGCTTTATCTAGAGGCAATTGTAATAGGTACTCAGAGCATTCAAGTTAGAGTTAACTTGACGTTGTCGCAACAGTTAGAGGCTATGTGCTACAACGGGATTAGAGGTAATCCTTTGGTTTACAAAGAGTTTGTAAATGCTTTTTTGGCTCAGTGATTTAGTGAAGTGTTGGAGAAAATCCTACTGTGTAGTAGGTCGTGGTTTTTTTCACCTTTTGAGCCGGGTGTTTTCCACGAAAAAATATTTGTGTTCTTTACTTTCTACATTTATTATTCCGCAACAGTAGCAGAAGGAACACATAGAAGAACCAGGTCCTTCCGTAATCAGTTTAAGCAAAAAATTGGACACCACACAAATCACCACCCTCTTGTGTTGTATTGAAGTATAAAACGTTACAAAACTACAGAATAACTTCACAGTAGAAGAAGAATACATAAACACATAAACTGATGCGGCGTGATCCCGATTCCACCATATAATCAGTAACAACATGAACATTCACACTTATTACTCTATATCAATCCACCCTTATTCCTTCTGTTGCGGCGTGCAACCTGATCCCACCCTACAATACCAATTCACCCTTATTACTCCTCAATATTTCACCCTTATTCCTCCTGTTGCGGCGCACAACCTGATCCCTCCATATATAACATTTCACCCTTATTCCTCAATATATTACCCTTATTCCTCCTGTTGCGGCGATCCCACCATATCACTACCAATCACACGATAAGAACAGGAATTTCACAATTTAGCTCAAACTCTCCACAGTGTTTAAACCTCAACTAAAACAAATGGAAAGCAGTACAATTATGAAACTTCACTTAAATTATACTACTCAACAGAACCAATCCAAGTATACTAATAACACTAATAACTAGCTTAAACAAATAATATGAAACAATAAAACTACGTGATATCTAATACTTTTAACAAAGAAAATAATATCAGACAAGTAGCAACTAATCATGGAAATATCAATAAAGCATGTAGCAGTAAAGGCAGGGAACAATATATTAAGAACGGGAAAGGAACTGTCAAAACTGATAAATTGGCGGCGCATAGGTACTCGTCACCTCACCTATATGCCACACGCATGGATTTTCACATAGAAATTAAGTCGCAGATCCCTAATCCCTCGAGTCAAAGTTAGACACAGCACTTACCTCGATCTACAGGTACTCACTGTTCAATTACCGCTTTTCCTCTAGTTTTCACCTCCGAACCACTTGTATCTAGTCATAATTAACTTAATAACATCAATTATCACTAAAGAAATCAATTCCAATACATAATTATAACCCCCAAGCCAAAAATTGTCATTAGTTCCGGAATACAACCCCAAATCGATGT